TTTGTTCCTACTACCTGCCCTTTGTTGCATAGCTCCTATAACTAGCTCCCCCTTTGCTGCCTCAGAGCAGTTCTCTCAGGGTTCCTTGAGATGCTGCTTCCCAGGCTGGAAGTCCTAAAAATGTCTGCCAAATAAAACATAACTCTCAACTTTTAGCTTGTGAATATTTTTTTAGTTGATATTTCATATAGTCAGTCTCTTGTTCCAACAATATGATTTATTGGAAAATGCATCCCTTGGGCCCCGGATTTGAAATTGCTGTGATTATATGCTAATTTCTCCTACAGATGAGTCTCCTTTATTCCTGGGTCAGTGTTGCATTGTTGCCATTATGATCACAAGTTCCCAAGCAGGGGTTTTAGACTTAAAATCTAATCAGAGTTCTCCAGAGAAATAGAACCAATTGGATACACAAAGATCATGTAAGAGGAGATTTATTATAGGAATTGACTTACATGATTAAGGAAGGTGGGCAAACCTCACAATCTGCCATCTACAAACTTGCCCTGGTCCAAGGGACTGACTGCTGATGTAAGTCCCAGAATTCAAAGACTGAGAACCTGGAGTTTTGATGCCTGAGGGCTGGAGAAGATAGGCATCTCAGCTGAATAAGAGAGAGCATGAATTCACCCTCCCTCCACCTTTTTGTTCTGTTTGAGCCCTCAAAGCATTGGATGTACTCACCCACATTGGTGATGGTGGATCATGTATCATCAGTCTGCTGAGTCAAAGGCTAATCTCATCTAGAAGCACATTCACAGACACTCCCAGACATAATGTTTTACCTACTATCTGAGCATCCCTTAGCCCAGTCAAGTTGACAACATAAAATTCACCACCACAGTCTAGATCCTCTAGTTTCTGTAGCCATCTGCCTGTCACCTGCTGAGATAAAGGTCACTGCCAAGGCAGTCCTGTACACAGTATATACCCCAATGACATTGTTCTGCAGGATGACACATGAAGAGTCCTCATGTCACCCAGCTTGATTTCCAGTGTAGTAAGTGCTCTACAAATACTTGTTTTCAAGATCCAGCACTCAATAAAATTTACTCCAGAAGAGCTGGGGTATTATAAGGCTCTGCAGGGTAAGATTTCAACAGCATGACAGTAGCAGGTCTTAAATTGCCCTTAATTGGGGGTATGAAGAGACAAAATAAATAATGGCCTGTTTTCCCAGCCTGGATTCTGAACCATTTCAGATGAAAGAGTAAGAAAGCAGACAAAAGCAGACCTTTATTTCCAATAAAGATGATCCTGTCAAGTGAGGCTTATGCCTGCAGGCAGCTGGGCTTCTGAATACCACACCTGAAACTGAAGCAAACTCTGTTCCCATCTCACTGGATGTGCTGGAGCTGGCTCTTCTCATAGAGGCAAAGAGCGAAAGAGGACCCTGGCCTTCTGTGGGCAGGCTGATTCCCAAAGAGGATGGGGAAAGGCCAGGTTCGGTATAGGAGAACAGTTTCTTTTAAGTCGACCAATCAGATCAAGTTGTTCCCTTCCAACCATGGCGGGGTGGGCGAGCTGCAGCAAGAATTGAGGAGTGTTAAGTCCATGGGGTCGCAAAGAGTCGGACACCACTGAGCGACTGAGTGACTGAACTGAGTTGAATATTAATGGAGTACCCTCCGAGGGGATGGAAATACATCACAAAGGGCAGTGGAGGTTTTCCCTAACACTTTGTGGAAGGTCCTGCCCTGCTGATGGAGCAGGGATTGCATGATAAAGGAGGCCAAGATCATGGCTGAACTAAACACGCGTTAAGTACTGTACTTGGTTTTATTTTGTGGCCCCTTCTTGTCTCTCTAGGCTTATCTCTTGCCATTCCTGTTCCTTGAACGAGAGATGATCTCCCTTACTTCTTGATCTTCATGTATGCCTGGAACACACTCCTGGCCCGCCTTCACTGTCATCTTTTTTGTCTGGCTTACTCCCATCCCTCCTTAGGCTTCACTTCCTCTGAGAAGCTTTATCTGGCACCCAAGTGTGAGCTAAATCCTTCCTGCTCCTCACAGTAAATCCTTCTAATGAATATTCAGGACTGATTTCCTTTAGGATTGACTGGTTTGGTCTCCTTGCAGTCCAAGGGACTGTCAAGAGTCTTCTCAACACAACAGTTCAAAAGCATCAATTCTTCGGCACTCAGCTTTCTTTATAGTCCAACTCTCACATCCATACATGACTACTGGGAAAACCACAGCTTTGACTCTATGGATTTTTTTGTTGTTGTTGTTCTACCACTTTATTGCTACTAACCCATTTCCCTCCACCCTCGTGCACACATGCTCAGTCATGTAATCCCATGGACTTCAGCCCGCCAGACTCCTCTGTCCATGGACTTTTCCAGGCAAGAATACTGGAGTGGGTTGCCATTTCCTTCTCCAGACTCTACGGATCTTTGTTGGTAAAGTGATATCTCAGCTTTTTAATACGCCATCTACGTTTGTCATAACTTTTCTTCCAAGGAGCAAGTGTCTTTTAATTTCATGGCTGCAATGACCATCTACAGTAATTTTGGAGCCCAAGAAAATAGTCTGTCACTGTTTCCATTGTTTCCCCGTCTATTTGCCATGAAGTGATGGGACCAGATGCCATGATCTTCGTTTTTTGAATGTTGAGTTTTAAGCCAACTTTTTCACTCTCCTCTTTCACTTTCATCATGAGGCTCTTTAGTTCCTCTTTGCTTTCTGCCATAAGGGTGGTGTCATCTGCATATCTGAGGTTATTGATCTTTCTCCCAGCAACCTTGGTTCCAGCTTGTGTCTGCATATCTGAGGTTATTGATCTTTCTCCCAGCAACCTTGGTTCCAGCTTGTGCTTCATCTAGCCCAACATTTCACATGATGTACTCTGTGTATAAGTTAAATAAGCAAGGTGACAATATAGAGCCTTGACGTACTCCTTTCCCAATTTGAAACCAGTCCGTTGTTCCATGTCTGGTTCTGACTGTTGCTTCTTGATGTGCATACAGATTTCTCAGGAGGCAGGTCAGGTGGTCTGGTATTCCTATCTCTTGAAGAATTTTCCACAGTTTGTTGTGATCCACACAGTCAAAGGTTTTTAGCATAGTCAATGAAGCAGAAGCAAAAAGAATTATCTTGCTTTTTAAATTATCCAACAGATGTTGGCAATTTGATCTCTTGATTCCTCTGCCTTTTCTAAATCCAGCTTGAACATCTGGAAGTTCTCGGTTTATGTACTGGTGAAGATTAGGTCTACTTTTTATGCCTTAGGATAAAGCAAAAACATACACTACAAAAAAAACCTGGCCTAGATATGTATAATGGGTTCTTGTATGGAGGAGGAAATAATTTTTGTGTAAAATAGTGGTGTCTGATGTATATGCTGAGACCTTTATAAATATTTTTCTTCTCTTACCTCTTGGGTGTATTTTTCGGTTTTCTACTCTGTAGTATTTCTACTCTGTTTCTTCTTGTAGTTTTAGAGAGTTGTGATTTGTTGGTAAAAAGTATCTGTTTTTAAGTACTGGTTCGAATTGCTTTATTTTGTGGACTGGGTCTTTGAGCAAAAATTAGATCTTGCTTACATAATTACAAGAGATGTTGGGATTTTAATTGCAGACTACATTTTCAGTTTTGTTTGTTTAAATAACGGTTAAAGAGAATTTTGAAATAGAATTTCCAAGACTAAAAGTATAAACACATTAAACTTTAAAAGAAGCATTGGCATAGCTATAATATGAAAACTTTGTCCAGTAATGCAAATGATCAGCATTGTCATCATAAGCCAGAAGCAGGGAGCCACGCGTGGTTTGCAGATAAACATGGTTTGGCAGATACTTTTCAGAACTGTTGAGGCTCACTGGTATTTCTTGTTGGCATTACAGGTGAATTTCATAAGTGTGTACAAAATAAGCAAAATGTAAAGTAAAGTTGAATCTAAATAGAGTTGTACAGAGAGGGCCCCAACCTCAACATACACATGACGTTTTAAGCTTTTAATATTAAATCGTATATTTCAAATGTTACCATGTCCTTGGGGTAGTTTAAAATTCTTACTAAGTAGTTGGTGTCTTTTTCATCTTTGTTAGTTAGGATAATCACAGTAGTTTTTTAAATAAGAATTGTAGAGATGCTTGATTTTTTCCTTTTAGTGAAATCATGAACTAAGAAGGGTTTGATTTTCTTGTGCAGTTTAAAATTGGTGCCATCTCATTTTGCCTAGAGATACCATGATTGCAGAGGCTCCCAGAAAGGTTTTGCTCTCCACACAAAATGCCTACCATAGATGGCTGCCAATGTCCAGATTTATTTATCAAGATCAGTGTTATCAAGTGAAACTTTCTACAAAGGTGGAAATGCCTTATCATCTGCACTGTCCTACTGTGGTGGCCACTAGTAGGGCTGTTGTGCAACCCGAATTGTAACTAGTACAGTTGAGGACCTGAATCTTACATTTTGTTTAATTTTAATTACTTTAAACCTAGCCACTTGTGGCTAGTGGCTCCCCTGACGGACAATTCAGAATTTCAGCACGGACAGCGCTTTTAGATTTAATATGGACATGCCTCTGGAAAAGTCAGTATGAATTTCTGTGAAATCATTTGACATATCTTGCCAGCATTTATTGAACAATTTTGTGGGCGTGCGTGTCTGGTCCTCTGGATTTCTCCAGTCAGCTTGTAGAGGAAGGTATGGAGGTCTGATATCTGTCCTCCCACACACCTCTGTCAGTGTGGTCTCGGTAACAGGGTTCCTGCTGTCTCAATAGGAGCTTCTTCTCTTCACCCTGAGCTCTGGAGCCCCTCTCACCCAGCCAGGTTCTCTGCTTGCTCAGGGCTGCTTCTGCCTGGAGGAAGGGGCTCCCAAATGAAATTCTCTCAAAGGTTTTGCCTGACCTAGCAGGGTCCTGTCAACTGAGGTTCATCCCCTCAGCTCATCTGGCAAGTTTTCCTAAACACATTTTTAATGGAAAAAGTGAACAACTCTTCACAGCTCTCCAACATCTATTTTTTCTTCTGTTCCCCCCCGCCCCCAAAGGTGTCTTACCTCCTGGAAGGGGGCAGCATGGCCCACGAAGACTTCTGCGGACACGCTGGTCAGTTGAACCCAGGAGACCTGCAGGTATGACCAAGATGAGGACTGGCCGATGGTTCCAGTCTTTGGCTGTTGCTGATGACCCCACCCACGTCTGGTGCCTCCTCGCATCCCTGCTCTGTCTGTTACGTCCTGGACTTCTCCCTTCCTGTGGCTTCTTGCACCACCTGGAAACTTGTGCAAGGCTCTTGTGTTCTCTCATTCTTCCCTAAACCCCCCACAGTCATTTTTTAGCTCTCACCTAAGTCTTTTTCTTATGTTTCTCAAAAGAGTAATCACGAGTCACTGTCTCAACTTCCTTCTCTTCCACCCTATCTTCCACTCATTGAAGTCAGGGTTGGCCTCTCAGCCAACCTTTCCTGAAGCTGTTCGGGTCCCGGTCACTCACAGAGTCCCAGTTGCCACATTCACTGCTCCAGTTTCTGTCCTCATCTTTCTAGATCTTTCTGCTGTCTTTGAGACAGTTTTCTATCAGCCAGTTCATTTGCATCGTAGGTATTGTCACTTAAGAACATGACCCAAACCCTGCCACCATCCTAGTCCTGTCGGACACATGTTACAGTTAAAATTCCCAGGGAGTGCTTGGGTCATTTTTGCCAGTTTTTATAAGCCTGGACTCTATATCAGGTACTTCTGGGATTATTTACATATTCTGTGGGATGACAGCTGCAAATATTTGAATTGTGGTGTTTCAGTGAACATGCGATTGAAAGTGAAAGTCATTCAGTCCTGTCTGACTCTTCGTGACCCCATTGACTATACAGTCCATGGAGCTATCCGGGCCAGAATACTGGAGTGGATAACTTTTTCTCTTCTCCAGCGGATCTTCCCTACCCAGGAATCGAACTGGGGTCTCCTGCATTGCAGGAGGATTCTTTACCAACAGAGCTATCAAGTAATTAGATGTGAGAGTTGGACTATAAAGAAAGCTGAGCACCAAAGAATTGAGGCTTTTGAACTGTGGTGTTGGAGAAGACTCTTGACAGTCCCTTGGACTCCAAGGAGATCAAACCAGTCCATCCTAAAGGAGATCAGTCCTGAATATTCATTGGAAGGACTGATGCTAAAGCTGAAACTCCAATACTTTGGCCACCTGATGGGAAGAACTGACTCATTTGAAAAGACCCTGATGCTGGGAAAGATTGAAGGCAGGAGGAGAAGGGGATGACAGAGGATGAGGTGGTTGGATGGCATCAGTGATGCAATGGACATGAGTTTGAGTAGGCTCCGGGAGTTGGTGATGGACAGGGAAGCCTGGCGTGCTGCAGTCCATGTGGTCACAAAGAGTCGGACACGACTGAGCGACTGTACTGAACTGAACTGAGATTGAAAGGCAGAAAAGCAAAAGGGCAAAGAGTCATGGCCCAAAGTCAACAGTAACGTCTCACCAGAGCAGAAAGTAAAGTGTGGCTCTGACTGGTTGTGACCCCAAGTGGGTTCTTCCACCCTCCATGCAGGAGTTCTAATGTGCCTTGGCATGGCTCCCAGCAGGATTGAGCCTCAGGTGCCCACAGCTGCAACCTGCTCATTAACTCCCTTTTTGGCTTTCTCCCTTGTCTGGCTTGCTCTTCCTTTCTTTCTGCAACACTTTCCAGATGAACTTCCTGCACTGGAGACCTGTCTCAGGATCGTCTGTGGGAGAAGCCAAGTTGAGACAGACAGGAGACCTACCTGTTGTTTTCTAGCTCTTCATCCCCAGATCCTAAGCTTGGCATCTGGAGCTGGCCCCTCACATGCTCCTACTAACTAAGAAGAAAATGAATGCATGCAAAATCTGCACAGCAGTGGAGGCAGTAACTTTCTCCAGGTAGTGAGGACTCCATTAACAGGGTCGAGCTAACTGACTCAAGTCAGCTGTCTGGGGTGTGGTGGAGTGTGTGGGCCTCCCCATGTACCATGCGCCCGTCCTCCATCCTGCCCTGGGCACGGCCCTCTGCCCAGGGAAGGGCCTCTCCCAAGGTGGTGCTCCCTCCTGCAGCGGGCCCACACTTGAGGGTTAGTTGATGTGAAGACCAAAGAGCCTCCATCTGGGACAATTCTAAAGTTTCATCCAATTCCAGAGCTCCCTGCTGGATCAGCTGAAGCCTCCACTGTAGCTGCATTGGTGATTGGCTTCTCTTCATGCCCCTTCCTGCTTTTCTCACTGATTAAGATGCATCTCCTGAGAGCCCTCCCCAGTTTACCCTCTGCATGCAACTTCCCATCTCAGAGGGCAACCTGAGACTCAGAGATGCTAAAGAGGGGGTTCTTCCACTTCTGTGAATGCCAGAGCTGATGCTTTGATTTCACACTCGGAGGCATGGGACATGTTTGCAAAACCAGAAAGGGGCCCAGCAGTTGTCACTGGCATTTTGTTATTCCTTATGGTGCCTGGGCACTTGGAAAGCAGCACTTGTAAGGTGCCTGGCTTAGTTACTGGGGTGTAATTGTCCCACCTGCCAGCTCATTACAGGCCAGGTCACACTTCCTTCTTGTCGCTCTGGTATTTGCAGTGGATGACCGCGGGCCAGGGCATCGTGCACGCTGAGATGCCTTGCTCAGAGGAGCCAGTCCACGGCCTACAACTGTGGGTCAATTTGAGGAGCTCACAGAAGATGGTGAAGCCTCGGTACCAGGAACTGAAAAGTGACGAAATCCCTAAACCCAGTAAAGATGGCGTGACTGTTGCTGTTATTTCTGGAGAAGCCCTGGGAATCAAGGTAAGCCATGCCATGGTGTGTTTGTGAAAGCTGAGGTGGGCGGTGACACGAGACTGGACCACTCTGGGTCTGCAACTCTCAGAGTTTTTCACAGTTCCCATCTCATGGGATGGACTTGCTTCAGAGGTGTCAGAATAAGTGCACTCTAAGGGAACCTGGAAGTTTTTCACCATGTGCTAGCCCTTAGAGTTAGGAAAATTATAGGAAAGCAAGCTCATGTAAAAAATTCAATAAAAAGGCAGTTTTCAAGATTCATCTTAATATGTGTGCAGATTGGGTCTGTTTCCTTTCATTTATAATATAGTCTTAGATTAGAACAGTGCGTTTCAGAAACAAAATCCAAAACTTACTCTACTCCCTGAAGATATATTAAAATTATTTGTGCTCAGCTTAGTAAGGACCATATATTGCTACATCGTAGAAAGGATATTTTTAAATTGACTTGAACATTTATTTAATCCATCTATGTCTTATTGTTGTTGTTCAGTCCCTCAGCTGTGTCCGGCTCTTTGTGACCCCACGGACTACAGCACGCCAGGCTTCCCTGTCCTTCACCAATCTCCCAGAGTTTGCTCAAACTCATGTCCATTGAGTTGGTGATGCCATCCAACCATCTCATCCTCTGTCATCCCCTTCTCCTCCTGTGAAGCCCTTTATGTCTTATACATTCTTCTTAACTGAGACTTTATCTTTTGCTTCTGGGTCCCACCTTTTAATCGACTAAGATCAATTTCAGCTAAATTTCATGGACAGATGTCGGTACGGAAGGGGTATGGTCAGGACTGTGTAAGTCGCATACCTGCTTCCCGGGAGCCTGGGTTCCTAGATACTGAGCTGGGTCATGTGGTCTCTTAGGTGAGGTTCCACAGAGGCAGACCCAGAGGTGAGCACTCCTCTGGCAGTGGCTTTAAAGGGAGTGTCCCTTGGGGAACAGAAACAGGAACCCGGACAGGAAAGGGAAGGTAGCCAAGCAACGGTGTCATCTCAGGCAGAGTCCCAAAGAGGACTCGGACTCAGGAGGATCAGTCTGCCCCACCCCGGGCAAGGGAGCCCGGCTTTCGTGCTCCCTTCCCCAAGTTATTACTTACGGCCATTGGTTTGGGGTGGGTGGCACAGAAATGGTTAAAAAGGATGGAAAGGGGGATCTGGGAGGGGCTGAGACCTCCAGTTCCCCGCTTGCTACCTGTTGTCTATTTTTGGTTGTCTGTTAACCTGTTCAGTGGCATCAACATATGGGGACCCACTTTGCAATTCTTTGTGCAACCAGCCCTTAAAGCTATTTTAAATGCTAATTTAAATAAATTTAAATTTTGTTTATATGCACCCACAGGGATGGTGGCTGGGCAGTGGGATGCATCTCGTGGTTAGCAAGTTGGTCATGATTATTGGTGAGGACTTACTGGTTTTTATATTTCCTGCACTGCAACTGCAGTTCTTTCCTGTCCTGTGTCCTTGCCTTCTTTCCAGTGCAAATAGAAGTGATTGAGGAAAAGCATATCAAACTTCACTCCCTATTAAGCATTGATAACTGACTGCTGTCTGTGCCCTGGCAGGCCTCAGGCTTCACTTTGCAGTTGAAAAAGTTGCCCTTCATTGTGTTTCTGCGACCCATTCATACGTTGCCCAGCACTGGGCAGCACCCTTCTCAACTGTGCATCCAGGGTTTCCTTCTCTTCAGCTCTCCAGAGAGATCTTTACAGGTACAAGGCAGAGGGCATGGAGGGTCTAAGAGAGCTGAATTGGTGCAGAGGAGAGGCCCTTCACTCCATTTCCCATGGCAGTTTTCATTCTGTTTTCAGAACTCCAGGGATGGGCCTTCTGGGGATCCTGAGGCCGATGGTAAAGGTCAAAGGATTTCCCTCTCTGTTTCAACCAAAGCACAAGGCTTTGCCCAGTCACGTGTATTGGAATTGTCTTTAAGATTTCTCTTACCAAAAAAGTGGAGCTATCTGCAGCTGAAAAGAGAAGTTAGACAACTGATTTAGTGGATAATCAAAGCTAGCAACATCATGAATCCTCAGTGTTTACAACTGCTTCTCATTTACAGAGAATATAGTGCAGTTTTAATGTTGGAGCTGGTTCCGGTTACAGGCAGAAGGACATTTTAATGCTCTTCCAAGCAGCAGACCACTGGTCTTGCAATCCCAACCAAGAATTAGAGACCAGAAGTAATGTTTTAACTTAGTGAAATAATGTCTTGGTAGCTGCTGGCCTCTCTTTTTCCCTTTGTCAAGTAAAACCTCTGAAGTGAATTACATTCTCCCAAATAAGTGATCAATCTTTATTATGAGAACATTTGAATAAAGGAGACTTGAAAGCCTGGGCAGCATTAATCTGGACTGAGAGGCAGTGTGGTGCTATGGTTAGTGGCGTGGACTCTGGAGACATAGACAACCTGGATTAGAATCCCCACCATGAACCAGCTGTGTGGCTTGTGGCAAACCGCTCAACTCTGTGCTCCATTGTTCTCGACTGTAACACATGGTTGCTGTGAGGGTTAAGTGATTTTTTAATACTCAAAAATATAATACTGAAAAGTTTAAAAGTGAGTTTTAATACTCAAAGTTGTCAAAAGGGTATCAGACGTGTTGTAAGCACCACATAAATGGTAGCTGTTTTATTATTATTTTGATACTTTGTGTTAACTTGGGTAGAAGCTTGGCTGAGATTTCTGTGTGTGGTTTATGCTAAAAGGACTTGCTGGGATTTGGGGAAAGTCTTTAACCTGCTCTGAGGAAAAGACACTAGCATGAATCCTTGTACACACGGAAGGCTTATAAGAAATGTAGTTTTGCACACCTGAAGCCTTAGTATCTGCTTACAAAGGAATGATTGGATCTTTAAAAGCCTAGGTCTACCATAAAAACAAACTGAAGGTTGTTTTGCATCAGGAAGATAATTTTAAGTTAAATCATGAGATGAGGCTGAGAACATACCTTTCAAGAGACTGATATGCTTATAACTAACTAAGAGTTACCAACAGTTCCCTTTCCAAAAACTTAAATATCTAGAAAATGGAATTAGTGACCATTCCAGTGCTTCTCCAGTTTTAATATTCACCTGGGTTTCTCAGGGCTTTTGTTAAAATGCAGATTCTGATTCAGCAGAGCTGGGTGATGCCTGAGAATCTCCATTTCTAACTGGCTCCCAGGTGATGCTGATGCTGTGGTCTGGGGACCATTGTTTGTACCATGTGTGACACCCCTGAGATCCAAGACACGGTAGTTTACTTATCACAAGGGGCAGTCTGGTTAGGTGCCTATAGAAGATGTTATGGTCCAGCTCTGTGGCTTTTGGCAAATCTTTTAACTGTTCTGGACTTCATTTCCCACAGCCACAGAAGCCGTGAGGGAGTCTGTTGCAGAATGCTGGAAGCTTTTGCAAGCAGTACAACTGACCTTGTCATAATCCCAAAAGTAGATGTGTCCCTGATTTCCCAGTTATATGTGTCTGAGCATTTCTTCAGCTCTTGAGAAGCCATGGCCAATTTTGAGGAAGATTCTGCAAGGAGAGCATCATCTAAAGTGAAGGCTGAAAGGGGAAAAAGATAAGAATGGGATACTTTGAATAGTTTCTGTCACTTCTGGAAGGTCAAAGATCACATGTTTATTTCAAGAGAATATGAAATTCTCCAAACTCCATTCCATCTGTATCAGGCAGCCAATCAGGAATATTTATCGCCAGTTCTCTCTGGAACGTGATTCTTTCCCCAACAAATGCCTCTTCTTGCCTCCTGCTGTTTAAAATTCCCTTGTGTCAGAAGCAAACGTTAAGGAGGCCTCAGCCCCACCAGGGTCAGAAAAAGGCGATCTGGAGCCAGGCTACTGAGTTCAAGGCCAGTTCCACCACTGACTGCCTTTAGTGAAGTCATGTAAGCTTGCTGGGCCTCAGTTTTCTCATCTGTAAAATGGAGACCATTATAATGACCCAGAGGGTCCTTAAACTTAAACCAATCCGTGGTATAGAGTAAGGCCTCTAGAAGTGGTTGCTGTTTTTACTTTGCAGAAGCTTTGTGCAGCATTCACATGGCCTACAGACATAACAAGAAGAAGCTTCCTTCTGATGAGAAGACTGTATATTCATGTATTAGATAACCAAACCTTTAAAAAATTCACTTTCCAAAAGAATTTGCCAAACATCTCATGTAAGTTGCTCAACTCTTGTTTACCACTGTGCCCCCAGCACCTGAAACAGTGCCTGATATGTACAAGGCAATCAGTAAATATTTGCCGGGTGCAGAAGTGAAATTAAAATGTAAATGAATGCTGGATTGCGAGAAACAAGGGTAAAGTATTAAGATCGACAGTGTAAGGATTAAGAATGACTGCAGTAAGCTTAATTCAAGCTAACTAAAAAGTTGAGAGAACAATAAAATTAGCTAAATTCTAGTTTCCAATGAAATAAACTATTTAAGGAGTTTGGAAGCAGGGAAGTAAAGACCAGATTGATTTTTCCCCCTTTAAATATGAATTTTGGGCTGTTCTGCAAGACAAAGATTGTTTTCTGCAGGTTTCTTAAATTCAAGGAGTGACAACGATCAATGAGCAGAGGTTTGGAGGTTCATGGTTCCCTTTGGGGGTCCACAGACAGGTGTCTCATTGTCTGCAGTAACATCTCTCCTGTGTGTTTCAGGGCATGGCTTGACATGGAGTTGTGATGTACTTACTGGCTTTCAGTGCGTCCCTGTGGGCCCCAGTTTAGCCCTGGCCGGCACTGGGAGACCTCATGTCCCTTGGGCCAAAAAACAGCATGCTCACTAATTAGCCCATGTTATGGGCTGGCACGTGATCTGTAACCAAGCCTGTGATTGTCACCTCTGATTCGAAGACCTGAGGGTGTCCCCAGGCTGTGGCAGTCTGCTGGTGACCACACATGCCTTTTCCTAGACCAGAACTAGAGAGAAACCGCTGCCTACCATACTACTTGCCAGCTTTTGCTTTCATCTGGGAAGCTTCAAGGGCAACACTTTATCATCAATCTAGAATTTCATCAGTCTCCCC